CCCCCCCCCCCCCCCCGCCAAAGATCTCCCCAAAGCTTGCTGTCTCTTGTTTCATGGGTTCCTCTTCTAGCCCACTATACTGGTTTTTACTTCTGTGAACGCCATTTCCTGGTTCCCCATATGCAGCCAGGGACAGTGGAACTTGGGTGCTCTTCTTCCATATTGAGAAATATGCAGCTGTTTGAGCTGTGCGATTGCCTGGAATGCTCACTAAGACCTTGCTTCTGTATCAGAACCATGTGAGTTCTTGTTGTCTAAGCGCTGGGACAGTGTTTATTATTCACCCTCAAGTCTCCTTTGTCTCCTCACTCTGTGGAATGCGGTATGTATTCATGAGGCTGAACCACGGTTAATCTCCTACACAGTGTGCTTCTCTTCTCCATCCTCTTTGCACCAACCTTTCCCCAAGCCAGCAATCCCCTCCCTGTTCTTCTGTTACTTCCCTACCAGTTCATTGGCCACATACGTGAATTCTACTTGGGATCAAGTGACACCTTGTGACAGATGACATGGTATGTTCTCAGGGTTGGCAAGTGCTACCATATTGCATGGAAAATCACCTGGAGAGCATGTGTGAGACTGAGTTCAGAGGCAGTTACCTGGAAGAGTTGTTTGTTATCATTAGTAGTCTATGGCCAAATTAAAACAAAACAAAACAAAGAAAGAAAAACCCAACTCATTAGAAATGGAAGTGTCTGTCATCTCAGACGGGGTTGCAATGGAAGTCTGTGCTCCAGGATCCCTGGCTGCTCCCAAAAATTGGGAAGATAGACATGGAACACTAAGATTAAGTGATGTGAAGTGTGTCCCCTTACACTTGACTCCTACACACACACACACACACACACACGCGCGCGCCACTATCACTACCTGGAGTTCTGATGCCCCAGTTTGTATCACATCTGTAAATCAATGCTCTGTATTTACTTTAAACTTTTATGTTTATTTGTTCGGCTTTGCGACTTTCTTGTTACAATTCATTGTGACATTGACTTTAGTCAGCAGAGATCTGGATAGAAACACTGTGCTCTGAACCATTAGAGGCTGAGTTTCTGGTTGTGCTGGCATCTGCCTTTCAAATCCTTGAGGTACGATCATCATGCTATGCACCTTCTTGTGTTAGGCTGTTGTTCTGAGGGAAGGGGGCCTGAGGAAAGTCCCTGGCATGCGATCTCCCTATCCTTTATTATCATCCCTCATCCTTAATTGCCTCTGCCACCCTGACATCTTCACCTCTTCCACCAGTGCTCAGTCTGGCACAGTCTCACCATCTGTTTGTGTGACAACAACATTATGGGCTCCCTCCATGCATCCCTAAATGGACCCAGGAAGGAATCAGAGATGGCAAGAGTGCCAGCTGGCACTGGTTGCACAACTTAGACAGTGATGAATCGTGACCCAGGACAGGGAGAATGGCTGATGGCTAATTGTAGATCACCATCAGTGCAATGGGGCTGGCCTCCCTGCTCACAGACATGGCTCATTCTGTATTGGTTCTGTTCTTTTAACAACAGAATCGGCTTCCTTTTATTATGTGGTCACAAAAGAATGTTCAGTGGGAAAGAAGAGTAGAAATTGAGTTCTGAATTGTTCTACTTTTCCCTTTCTTTCTCTAAAAGAGCAGTATTGAGAAGTTCTGGGGAGTTCAAGAATTGCTTGAAAATGACAGGAATGGGTTTCTAGCTGTTCCTTGGAGAAAGAGCTAAGGAAAATTACCTCATTCTGATGGATCAGTCTATGTATAAGCTGCTAGACTTCCTGCCTACACTCACCCATCAAGTCTCAAATATTTTCTGTTCTTTGTATCTTGTAAATAACTGATGATTGATTCATTCATTCATTCACTCATTCATTGCTCTCCTCTAGTTCCAGGATTACATCAATCAGGCTGTTTTAAGATTTATGCTATAGATTCAAATACATGATACATGATGTTAGAGTGTTTTGTTAGTGTTGCAGTTAGTTAATTTTTTATGTATTTAATGTTAAGATGTGTCTATATTTTGTTTCTATTCTGTGCCTCTGTGCCTGTGTGTGTGTGTGTGTGTGTGTGTGTGTGTGTGTGTGTGTGTGTGTGTGTGTGTGTGTGTGTTTATTTCACTTTCAGTTTTCTCCAAAGATGTTGGGAGCACAAACATACCTACTAAAATAGAGTGTTCTTTTTCAGTAGAGGAATTTAGATACCATTTTTACTTTTATCTCTTTGAAATGCCTCCCATAGACCCCATTTATTCTCCAATCAGATATCTCCCAAAAGCTGATAAAGCTAAGAAATAGAGAACTGTGCTTCTAGCAATGTGGAAGAATTACCCGAAGATGAGCCCTGTGCATGGTTGGAATTTAGAAGGTAGCTGTAGGCAAGAGCTCCATCCAGCAGGGGCTGCTTTGGATTACCTATTTCTTAGTCTTATAGGAAATACACTTATTCAAGATTCTTCTCTGTTGCTATAAGGAAAAAAACAAAATATTTGAATCAACAGAGAAGGCTGAGAGAAAAGCTGATGATTTGCAAATGGTACCAATAAACAACTTCAGGCATGAAGAGACACAGAAGATTGTCTGGGGATTTTTGGATGGTCAGGAGTTGGTCACTGGATAGAAAATGTCAGACATTAGAAGACTATATCCTCCAGATCCAGAAACTAGTCATGCATAGGAGACAGGGAATGAAGTGTGATGTGGCCTTCTGGAGTAAGAGGAAAGTGGTGACTGATGTGGCCAAAAGAAAGACATTCATATCAGATGATGGGAAATTTGTACTTGAGACACACTGTGCCTGGGAGATACAAAAGTCTTCTGAGTCTAAAGGAAAGGCATAGAAAAAGAAGCAAAATTAGAAAGACTGGGGTATTCTTAACCCAAATGACTCCTAAGAAAAATGGTCCTTTCTGCTATGGTGAGGTGGATCCAACAAGTGATTTCCTCAAGAGAAGCTGTGATAGTTCAAGAAGGGTTAGAATGGGCAGATATGAGACTGTTTACATACTAAGGATAAAGAATCAGAAAAGATTATGATTAGCAAACAGTGCCTCTCTCTACCAGGACTGACCTACCTTCTCCTACCAGAAGATCTTTTTTTCCTCCCATGTTTTCCTACCCTACTACATAAGATGTAGTTTTAATTCTGCATTACAGATCATTTTTGGTTTGAGGGGCTTTTGGGGGGCGGAGTTCTGTGTAGGGAAACAGGTATTGCTGTTATTTATCTTGAGATGATAGTATTCTAGTTCTGGTTTTAACACTAATCAACTGTGTGACTCTGCATTAGTCATTCTAGGACCAGAATGAGAAAGGTAGGGGTGTGGCTTATTGGTAGAATGCTTGATTAGCATGCACAAAGCTCTGGGTTCTTGGAGTCAATACTTAGCACTACATAAATTGATCATGTCAGCATATGCCTATAATCTCAGCACTCAATAAGTAGAGGCAGGAGGATTAGCAATTTAAGATCACCCTTGGTTCCATAGTGAGTTCAAGACCAGCCAAGGCTTCATGAGACTCTCTCTCAACAAAAGTCCAGTGCTCCTAATCCCTCAAAACATTATGGCCTCCCTTTCGTTTCCTGTCACATACTTGTAAACAAAAGCAATTTTAAATTGAAGTTGTCTAAAGACATCTGACTATATTGTTTTCCCATAACGATTAGCTTGATACCTTTAAACAAAAAAAGCAAACACTTGCAAGCATTTTTCTCACTTTAGTTTCCTCATTTTGTCAGTGCACTGCCTGTACCAGTGAGCATCTGGTAAATTCATGGGTCAAAACTGAACAGGTATTTGTGTCTCATAATGTCTAAATCTTATGAAGGTTAAGTGTCTATGATAAAATAGGATCCTTGGTTTTTTAGTAGGAAGCATTTTGGAAAAAATTAAAAACCACCCCTGATGTAGAATACCTGCCAATAATATAGAACATGGTTCTGAAAATCTTAACCCTGCAAAGCTTTTGTCTTCCTGTTTCTCTTTCTCTCCCTCCCTCTCCCCGTCTCTCTCATTCATCCACTCACTCACTCAGTCATTTGCTAACTGAATAACATTTTGTATGGTAAGTCTATCTTTAATAATTTAAAAAATTTCTCACACAGCCACTGCCATTTGACCTTTCACCTCTGACCTGAATGCACATGTCCACCTTGGTTTCCATGGGTACTGCCTAGCAGCAGAAGCCAAGTCTCTCTGCAAGCCTTGCTGTGGTCTGCCCTTCAGATGGGGTCTGCACATTACTTGCTGGAAGGTTTCTCCAGCAGATGTTAGCAGGCAGACAAGCTAGCACACAACCCTGAAGCCCAGAGCATGCTGCGCCAGGCACGCACACACTTGCCAATACCAACCCCAGAAGTGCTGCAGGGTGATGGAGGGAGTCTGCTCTGAGGGGCCAGCGCTGCTCCGAAGCCCTGCTAATGTCTCTGTGTGGCCATGCTGTATTTTCAGCTTGTCATCATGGCTGGGACAGTGCTGCTTGCCTACTACTTCGAATGCACTGACACTTTTCAGGTGCATATCCAAGGATTCTTCTGTCAGGATGGAGACTTAATGAAGCCTTACCCAGGGACGGAGGAAGAAAGCTTCATCACCCCTCTGGTGCTCTATTGCGTTCTGGCTGCCACTCCAACTGCTATTGTAAGTACAGAAACAGAGTTCTTTGTTGTCAGGCACCTGAAAGTATTTCCTGTCTGTCTTTTCTCCTCTTTCCTATCTTCCTTGGTTCTCACCATCAAGTAGCCTTATCAACACTTCCCTGTTTCAGCCAGAGACAGACTAAGTGAAAGTCTGCATTAAAAAAATATTAAAATTGGTCTTGCCTTTTATAGACAGATGGATAATTTTTGCTTTCTAGTGTCTGGGTTTTTGAAGTTATGTTTTTTAAAAGCATGTGTGAATGTCAGAAATCAACAGACATGGTTAGCTGGCCTGTTAAGAATAGCTACTGTGCTCTCAGAAAAAAAGTATGCTGCGAGTTGTATGTATTCGGGAGCCCAGCTGTCAGTGACGGCTTTGCCATAGAGACTCAGATCAGAGCAGAGCAGAACCCTCCAGCTGGTACCTCCTGCTGCTACAGTTGAACTGCAGAGGCCAGAGATGAGCAAAATTACGTGACCCAAAATGTGATGTCTCTGCGCCTGTCCAAGTCACACCACACTGAGCTCAGTTGCAACTTTACCTTCATTTATTTTGTTGTCTCTCTTTAAGGTCAAAAATTGGACAGACAGCCCTGTAGGGAGACTGCTTCAAGGGCATAAAGCTTACAGATCCGTGTTAGGCAGTCAAGTGTTTTAACACTTAGACATTATCATTTTATGAGAGTGTTAAAATAAACATTTATGTGTTTGAACACATTGCTGTTACCAGGGCAGATTAATCCGGGTGTAATTTCAGTTCCCACTCTGTCCTTCCTTTCTAATAGCTTTCTAATAATCCCCCACTCTTCCCCTTCACCTCTAACATGCCCTCTGCTCTCTTTCAGTAAAAACATGCCAACTGGCGTACTGAAGAATACAGTGATTGTGCAGACACTCAGTTCAAAAGCTATTCTCAGAGCCAGTGTTTCTCTTGCCTTAAGATGAAAAGTGACTGTAATGTTGAAGCTATAGAAATAATGAGTCATCACACTTTAAGTTTATTCAAATCATTTGATCCAGGCTCAGCAGAGCTCCCCTTAACTTCTAAGGCTTCAGAAGAAATGAGAGTAGCCTTGATGAGATGAAACATGATGTATCCGGGCAGTTAAAAACATTAGGTGTACAGAGCAGCATATCTGGGTTACATCCTGGCTGGGCGACTCATCTCATTGATTCCTTCCAGACAAGACAAGGTTGTCATGGCTTTGGAAATGACTTCCTAAAGTTCCTGGCATACCCTTAGTGTCTAGGAGCAGAGACCCTGGCAGGAAATTATCCTCCACCCACTTTGGTGTCCTCATCTGAGGATTATGATGTTCCATTGAGAATCCCTGTATGACCTCTTCTAAAGGGATGGGAACTGGACATAACTTCTATGTCTGCTTTCCCTTATCCTTACTTATCAGCCCTGGGAAGAAAAGAGAGCACAGAGAGAAGACACTTCTATGTACCTCACAGGCAGAAGACTCTAATCCCCAGATAAAACAAGGAAATAGGTTAAGCTCTGTCTAGAATGGGCTGGTAGTAGCTCTACCATGAGGCAGTGCTTTAGTCTAGAATTGGATTGTGCCATAAGCATATTATTTTTTTAAGTGTTCAGACATGAATTGCTGAATGACCTAATGAGTTACTAATATATTTTCTTCCTTTCTTCCTAATCTCAGAGAATATAATCATTCTCTATATTTTCCTATAATTATTTTGTATTTATTAAAATTTTACCCATTAAAAAACTAAGACCAGTAGAAACATTAATAAAGATGAGCAGAAAATTAGAATCAGAAAAACAGTATAATTGCTGAATAAAATCAAAAGCAAATTCTTCAAAATGTTAAGTGCACATAAAAATAGAAGAGGCAGTATGGGAAATTAGGGGTGAGGATAGGGTCCAGGGTAAGGGGACCAAGGTATGATAGCATTTATGTATGAAAATTTCATCATGAAAAATATTATTGTGTATAACTAAAAAGAGAAACCATTTTATAATTGATGTTTACTCTGTAGATATCATCTAGGTGATCCTCACAGCAGCCCAGTGAGATGAAACAGAGGTATTCCAAAGAACATAAAAAACATGGTCTACAATCCCCTTCATCTTTCAGTTGAGAACACAGAGGCACAGTTTGGCTAAATGATGCCCTGGAGGTTCCATTTTTTCTGTAATCAGATGGACAAGGGTCTGCCTATTGGTTTCCATTTTTGTCTTCCTTCTCAAATTGGGGGCACAGCTGGGAGCCAGAGACGCTCCACTAATGGGTTAATGACAGAGAGCAGTACAGTCCTCAACCCTACTGATCACCAGTATATTCCTTCAAGACCCCCACCTCCACCCCCATGCCCCGATCTATGAGCATTGCCAGGCCAGACGTCCTCTGAGCTCTGGGAAAGAGCTGTGTTCCCTTCTGCCCAGTGAGATATGACTTGCCCATGTGTGGGTCTCAGGGTCCAAGCCCTGGTGCCACCTTCAGTACACACATCTACTCAGAGCCCCCAGCATTAACAGTCTTCCCTATGCAGTCCTCTCCCGCAGACTGGGCCCAATAACAAGGTGATTTCTAGTTGCTTCTATTCCTGTGGGTTCAGTTTTCTCATTTCTACACTTTAAGACAGGATCAGGCTCACTGATGTCCAAGACCCTTCTAGTTCTCAGATTTCACAAGAACACACAAAAAGGAACATTTTGATGAAAGTTTCTGCATTTTAGATTATCAACAAGTCAGAGAGCTTCCTTTCTGGATTTACTTTTGTAATTCTGGGCCTTCACATGTATCACAGAACTGTACAGCTTATCTATTTCTCCTTAAAAGAATTTCCTGTGCTCCCTGGAGTATAAGGAAGGCAGGATCACCTTTCAGTGATGTGCATAGTAACTAGCAGTAAGTTTCAAAATATTAGCTCTGCCTGGGTTGTCCTTGCCTTTGTGTGTGTGTGTGTGTGTGTGTGTGTGTGTGTGTGTGTGTGTGTGTGTGTGCATCTCCAAACACGACAGTGGCTGAACTGAGCGCCACACTCCTGTGTCTCCACAGATGGACATTAACAACCCCACTCACAGCTGCGGAGATGCACAGGGGAGGAATGAGGGGAAAGATGGCCACTTGACCTGTAAACTCCCTGTTTTCCCTTGTATGCTTTCCTGTCAGAAAATATTAACCTCATACTGAGACAAGGCCACTTGGGATGAACTGCAGCGGGCCAAAGCCACTGTCGGCACGTATCTTTAAGAAAAGTTGAAGCTTGGAGAATTTATTGTGTCCAGAACTGTTTAGCCCACAGTGGTAACCCATACTTCAAAGAAACCTGCAGAGTGTGTCCTGACTGCACGGACAGCTTGGATAACTAACTGTTCCCTTGGGCCTTCTGAATAGACTCCAACTCAGGGGCAAAGGAGAGAGTCAGGGAGTCTGCTTGAATAAGAGGATATATTGGGCAGAGAATCTGATTTACCCTTATTTTATCTCAGTCCCAGTGGCACAGGGCATGAGAAGAGAGCTATTAAACCTTCCTCTTGGCCTCACAATGAAGTGACTGGGGAGTATTTAGCATTGAAGCAGCAGAAGATTTGACTCCCTGCCCAAGAGAATTGAAATCGCTCACAGCTTGTATGCGAGTGCGAGCGTGCGTGCGTACACACTTTCACACACTCAGGCAACTCAGGAGCAATTTCCTCAGAAAGGAAAAGCCAAGCACAACTTGACAGAAAGACACATCTTAGCTGGACTTGCAAATCCTCATTTGAGCATTTATGCAAGTTCTTCCCACCAAATGTAAAAGGACACTGCAGATCACAGAGTGGCCTCTCAGTGCCGGGCCTGTTGGCTGGCTGACAAGGGCCACAGCTGCCGAAGCAAAGGAAATATTGTCAGCCTTGTGCCCCTCAGAATTCACCGCTTCCGGCCTCTGAACAGTCTCCTTCATTGAAACGCTTTGATATTATCTAAGTTACGTCCTTTCCCTCTGTACCTCATCATGTGACTTCTTTAGATAGAAAGTCCTTTCCCTCTGTACCTCACCATGTGACTTCTTTAGATAGAAGGTCCTTTAGCCACTGTTGCTATTATACTCCGTCTTTACAATTTGCAGTTTCTTCTGGGGTGAACATATAGCTGACCCAATTAAATTTATGAATTGAAAAAAATTACAAATCTAGATCACTAATCTGTAGTATGGACACATTTTTTTTTTTTGTCCATACTACAGATTAGTGATCTAGATTTCCCTTAGTGGAGTTTTTGTTTGTTTGTTTGTTTGTTTGTTTGTTTGTTTGTTTGTTTGTTTTTGAGACAGTATTCCTTTGTGTAACAGCCCTGGCTATCCTGGAACTAGCACTGAAGACCAGGCTGGCCTCGAACTCACAAAGATCTGCCTGCCTCTGACTCTCGAGTGCTGAGATTCAAGGTGTGCACCACCACTGCCTGGCCTTTTTTTTTTTTAAAGAACATTGTTTGCCCAAAAGTATGGCCTGCTTAAATTACTTGGAGATTACACTTGGGTTTAGTTTTTATTGAGGACAAGATTTTAGTGAAATTACTTTAGGTTTCCGTTTCTCTTGTCCAGCAAAACAAAAAGGTGTCAGTGAACTCTGTTTTTAAGGCTATATGGTCCCGCCCTCCTACAACATCATGCATAGTTTCAACTAAGACAGCTTTCTGAGTGGCTGGAGGTGGCTCCTGGATTGAGACCAGATGACCTGTACTAGTGTTATCATAGACACTGAACACTGAACGGTTTTCAAAATACTACCATACAGACAGCTTTTCCTATTTACGCTGTTAAAGGGCACTGGAAGTGTCCAGTGGTGGTGTCCATTATTTATGTCCATGGATGATAAAGCAAAAGTCAGTAATTCTTGGGATAACTAGAGTTCTTCAAGTAAAGGAAGCAGAGCCTCTCTGCAGACCTAGAGTTCTACGGTAGCACTCATCATGAAAGATAAAAGCCCAGAATAAAGGAGACTCTCATAGTGCAGGCAACAGAGTCTATATTTTTTTCCCATTTCCTGGG